TTTTAATTTTGCGCCGCCTCCGAAAAGGTTGAAATGTATTTAATACACTACCTAACGAGTAAATAGGTTTCATTCATATCTGTGACGTAATTGTATGATTGAATGAAATAGAAATTATTTTATACTTTTTAGTGCATTTCGAAGTCGGTGTATTTTTTTTCTTAAAATTATTTTATGGATGAGTACTATCAAAATCATGGAAAGATTAATATGTAGTCTTTGATAAATATTTGCAACATTGTAACACATTAAAATTGTTTCTTATTTTGAATCTCATTCGTCAATAATTACATTTAATTTAAATATATTGTTTATACTTATTTATACATGTATTCTTTTTATCGATAATTTGCAGAGTCTCTGTAATTAATACATCTACCCTATAACTATACACTACAAGTTATAAAAATAACGCCGATATACATAGAATCAATTTACAGAGCTAAACTTCGATTTGTAGAGATCTAGGTACTTTAAATTTGTGTTACGGAGTCAAAATAATGCTGTTGCACATGTGGCGAATAATTCGAGTTTACTTCAATTTATAAACATTTGCAAGTATCAACAAAATTTTAGTCGCATAGCAATTTTCGTGTTATATCATCAATACCACAACGCCAATTTATACTGTTTTTCTGAATTAGCCCATTTTACACAACAAAGATACCATTTATAAGAAATAGTTCAAAGATACGTAGTATTTGAAAATCCATAAAACATTCGCCAGTTATATCAGAGCTAGAAGCTATTTAGAAAATTTATGTTTTCACAAGCAAATTCGTACACGAACATGTGTATATACATATGTATTATGTGTCAATAGCATTTACGTGGACTCAATCTGTCGAATGTACATGTACGCCCACAGTAACAAAACAGTTAACCATTATATTTTACACCCACGTTAAGATCAAACCGACAACTACAAACAGAATAGTTTTGTATCAATGGAATTGTTCCACTGATATATACGTTTCGTTCGAAATGTTTCTCTTTCACTGGGTGAACTCAATTAAGATAGAGATTCCATTAATTTTAACTATTAGGTCATTCCATAAATAATGTTGTACCTCATGTATTGTTAGGTTAAATATCTTGTACTTTTAGCAGAACCTTCATAATATTACAGAGTTCGGTATTTTATTTCTGTTACTTGGAATATGTGTATTACGAGATTGCAATTGTATTAACTGAATTTGGGCAAGAGGATGTTAAAGGCTATTTATGTTTGTTTAGGCAACTTTTACCTCACCGAGCTGTGTGCTACGGAGGAGACAGAATTATGCGATCCAACTCCAGTTCTAAACTTGAATTGCAAAGAGGGCAAATGTCCGGCTGTCTTCTTACGATTCAAGTAAGTTTCGATAAAAAATGAAATAGGGAATGAAACAGATTAAAAATTTAATTATTTGAACTATTTAAAGGTTTTGTCTATTTTGGGATCGTTGAAGGTTTTCAGAAATTCGAAAGTTTAAAATTTTGAAAATTTGAGAATTTAGAAATTTAGAGATATAGAAATCTCGGATTTTCAAATTTCTAAATTTCCCAATTTTCAAACTTGTAAATTTTCAAAGTTTAAAAAGTTGAAGTTTGGTAATTACATAATTAGATAGTTTGAAAGCTTTATAATTTGAATTTAGTAATTTCGAAACATAAGTGTTTAGTAACTAGAAAATTGGGAAATCTAGAAAGTTAAAACTTTGAAAACGTAAAAGTTCGAAAATTTTGTTTAGAAATTTCAAATTTTCAAATTTTCAAATTACTAAAATTTAGGTTTCTGCTTCTGATGTTCTCGAATTTCTTCATTCCCAAATTTTCTAGCTTATCTACCTTGTCTAACTTAAATTTTCTAGCTTATCTACTTTGTTTAACTTTAATTATCTAGCTTATCTACATTGCCTAATTTAAATTACCTATCCTACCTAAATTTACTTCTTCTAAATAAAAAAATATATTTTTCATTCGATTATACTATTTTTGTCTACATTTTAAATATTCGAGCAGATAGAATTTTTTGATAGATCAAATATATCCCAAATATGTCTAATTGCGTCAGAAGGTATTTATTATATGACCAATATCGATTTATTGATTTCAGGGATAGCGAAAGCGGAGAAGTACGAGTCTATCCAGGCAAATTGCAGGTGCTTGAATCATTCTGTAGAGTACCTGTCACAGAGACGACGACCGTCGCAGATTTAATCGAAGAAGCGCTTCAGAAATTCGGTTTACAAGATTTCAATTCGGAGGACTACAGATGCAGCGAGATCCTTTTGGATCGCGGTGGTAAACCTTTAATCTTATATTCAAATACCAATAAAAATATAAATATATAAAAAACCGCTAATAAAAACAGTATTGCTTTAAATTAGATGAAAACATTCTCAATAACAGCATGATAATTAATTTTTATTCTTTACCATTTTTAAACGTTTATTAACAAAATAATGCAATAGAACGTAACCTGATTATTTTAGATTGTACAATTGTTTAAATATTAAGACATTGATAATTAATATTTTTATTTAAAATTATTACAAATCATGTTTGACAAAAAAGTTATGTTATTAATTAGTTTAAAGTAGATTAATTTTTTATTATTGTAAATTCATTATAAAATTATTGTTCTTCAAAATTATAATTCTTCTTCAAAACTATAAAACAATTATATAAACATTGTATAATCTCAGAATCTCTAATGATATCTAAAAATTTATATAATTGTCAGAATATTTTAAAGCAATTATATACGAGTTGCTCTTATTTTTATTTCTTATATTTGTTAAAAATGAACCGATAAACTACCAAAAGTAATCGTTCATTTTGTTTTCATCGAGAACAGAATATTAACTCCTTAAATTGAACAAAAATTCTTTAATAATAACACATTTTTTATTACATCATTAGAGAATTTTTCAAAAATTCCATTACAAAAGTTCGCTACAAAAATTTGTACTCTCTTTTTGTAACTAGTTCTCGTATAAAAATTTGTACCGAGTGACAAATTTCTTTTGAACATGTTAGGTGCATATGCTTTAAAATTTCAAATATTTCCATAAATTCTGATTCACGTGAATTCTGTATTTGTCCAGTTACTGAAAGAGTGTTAGAACGCGACGAGAAGCCATGGGAAATCGTGAAACAACTCGGCAAAGATTCTATCAGGCAAATGGAATTGATGCGATTCTACCTGCAGTTGAAACAAGATCCCCATGGACCTAACCTAGCTTTATTCGTGGGTAACCTTCCACCTAACCTCTCCGAAAGAAGTTACGAAAACATGTTGACCGAATTCTTAGGCAAAGGTAACCCTAACTAAACATATTCACATAATTACCAATTCTATGAATTGAATTCAAATAATACCAGATATGATACTAATTATTTTTGTTTATTTTTGACGATAGAAAACAAATTTTCCTCCATTGGTCCGATATATTACGAATATGGCTCGATGGTGATCATTTACGAAGATTCGAACAAAGCAGTCAGCGCGTTGTACACGTTGAGAGAATCAAAATACGAGGACAAACACCTTTTAGGTATTTTCCTGCATTTTCAAATCGATATCTTTTTGAAAGAATAATTTTCTTGATATTCTATTTTTATAGTTATGCTGTTACCGAGCATCGAACCGCGTATGGTGCCATTCGACGTGGAGCCATTGCTCGTCTTCGTGAACGTGAAATCTGGTGGTTGCCAGGGTTTACAGTTGATTTCCAGCTTTCGTAAACTGTTGAATCCATATCAGGTGTTTGATCTCGATAACGGAGGTCCACTCCCTGGGTAAGACAGTAATTATTTACTGAAAGACACACCTGATTTTGATAGCCTTTAGGCTATCAAGGTCAATATGCTGAGTAACTTCGCTGCTGTGTATAACCGACGATTTTGTCAGTTTTAAAAATATATGCAAATTATTTTTAATTTTTTATTCGTTTCTATGACTTGGTGCAGGGTTGAGGATAAAAATAAATTTCGGGATTTTTTATTTTAGAAAATTCTGATTTTTTACTTTGCAATTTTTAATTTTAGAAATTACACATTTTTAACTTTTTTATTTTATAAATTTAGAAATTACACATTTTTAACTTCTTAATTTTAGAAATTACAAATTTTTATTTTGCCAATTTCTAATTCTAGAAATTTCAGATTTTTAATTTCTTAATTAATAATTTTAGAAGTTACACATTTTTATTCTGCTAATTTTTTACTTTAGAAATTTCAGATTTTTAACTTACTAATTTATAAGCTCAGAAATTAATAATGTTTATTTTACTAATTTATAAGTTTAAAGATTAAAAGTTCTTATTTTACTAATTTTTAATTCTAGAAACTCCAATTTCTCAATTTTCTGATTTTCACAATTCCCAAAAATTTCAAATTTGAAGTTTCCAATTTCTAAATGTCTAAATTGCCAAACTCCCTCAACTTTTAAAACTACTAAATTTTAAAATACTGAACGAAATAATCAATTTTCCACGATCGATTACTTCAGAAATGTCCGATAACAAGCAAAATTATCAAACTGGTCAATATTTCAAAAACCATGATACTTTGCATAACATATATAGAGCTAAATATATTCCAAATAACCTCTTCTCTCATCCCGTGCAAACTTCCTACTTAACACCCTCTATCTAAAAATGTACCAAAACACCCTCTATATTAAAATGTACCAATCGTTCGTATTCTAAATTCTAGGCTGTACGTGTTCCGTCACATCAAAGACTACAAAATCCTTGTTTGCGGTGGAGATGGAACAGTAGGATGGGTATTGCAATGTTTGGACAACGTGGGGCAGGACAGTGAATGTTGCTCTCCCGCTTGTGCCATTGTGCCCTTGGGAACAGGAAATGATTTAGCACGTGTACTCTGCTGGGGTCCTGGTTACACAGGCGACGAGGACCCTTTGAATTTACTCCGGGACGTAATTGATGCAGAGAAATCTTTGTTGGACAGATGGACGGTAGTTTTCCATCCGGAGGAGAAGGAGGACAAACCGATGCCCACCAATGCGGGAGGTTTGTTAAAAAATATTTTATGCTTACACTAGCGAACTACTATGTTACAAACTTAATTATTTGCAACAGTACATTAAAGATTTTTCAATGATACTTATGTACACTATATAGTTAACGAATATAATTGTTATATAAATATAAGATAAATGTTGTAGTTGGGGGTAATCATAATACTGTATTTTCTTTTTTAATGTAGTTCAGTTAGATTTTCAATTTTTTGAGAGATACAAATATTCTCTATACATATTTAAATAATTGTGAACTATATCATAAATTGTCATTAATCATCATAGATGATTACAAACGACTATGAATTATTATGAATAATTATAAATTATTTTTGTTAAAAAATTGTTATAAATCGTTATAGACAAATATAAATCATTAAGATCACAATAAATTATTGTAAATAATAAAATCATATATATCATATCAATAATAATAATATATACTAACACATAGATGGTTAATAGAAAAATAGATGGTTACAAATGATAATTGTTCTTCATCTTTTAAATGAAGTTTAAAAGAAGTTTGCTATCATCTGAAATCATAAAATGGTCATAGTATTTGTGTACGCATAGTAAATTTTAATTGTGTGTGTATATAGATTATACAGACAAAAATACAAAACTGGAGAATATAAAGAAATGTTGAGAAAAATATGAACGTTGCAGGAGGGAGTGCTACCAGCGAGGACAATACGCAAATATTCGTAATGAACAATTATTTCGGAATCGGTGTGGACGCCGATTTATGTTTGGCTTTCCACAATGCCAGAGAGGAAAATCCAAATAAATTTAAAAGCAGATTACGCAATAAAAGTGTGTACGTAACGATGGGTATACGGAAAATGGTGAAGCGGACATCGTGCAAAGATCTGCACAAAGAAATTCGATTGGAAGTCGATGGAAAACTCATTGAATTACCCCCAGTTGAGGGAATAATTATTCTGAATATTTTGAGGTAATCAGTTTATTGATGTAATTACTGAACGTGATTTTTATTGAATTTCTTTTTGATCGATAGCTGGGGTTCTGGGGCAAATCCTTGGGGACCAGACACCAACGAGGATCAGTTTCATGCACCAAATCATGGCGATGGAATTTTGGAAGTGGTTGGTGTCACGGGTGTGTTGCATCTCGGACAAATTCAGTCTGGTCTTCGTACAGCGATGAGGATAGCCCAGGTACGTTGCAATTTGATAGTAAATACTATGATGATTAGCGTAAAATAGAAAATTGAATATTAGATTGACAAGAGAACTGGAATTTATGTACAGTTGAGTGTAATAGAGTGTGTTTTTAAATGACGTGCAAAGTAAAAAACTTTTTCATTTTGCGATTTTCTGAGTTTTCAAATTTACAAGTTTCAAGTTTCTTAAGTCTGAAAATTTCCAATCTCCATCCTCAAATTCATAGAGTCCCAAATTTCTAGATTTCCAAACTTCAAGGACTCTAAGTCCTACGTTCTCAAATGTTTAGCAAATTTCTAGATTTTCAAGTCCCTAGATTAGATCTCCACAATATTAGATCTTCAGATCTCAAAATCCCTAAATTATTATGCACTCAAATTCTTAAGCTACCCTTAAATTGTCAAATCCCCAAATATCCAATAAAATCAACGACTGGAACCTTTTCCTTTCCCATTGATTACCATATTTTCCTATGAAAACTGGATTTGCTCTTAACTGTACAATTAATGTGTGTATTTCATTATTAAGTTCAATTCGAAAATTTTAAGCCTAATATTTAGCTATAAAAAAGATTAGAATACTCTATTTAGTATTGTAGTTCAGAAGTATAATGTCTGAAATACCGGCAATGTCTATTTCTTTTTTAATAGTTGTTTTTGTTTCTGCATCAGAAAGGACGGTAACGGAAAATGAACGATTTTATTAAGTTTTACAAATATGTTATATTGTACAATAATGAAAATATGATATAATTAGTGTTTACACTGTGCCATTTGAAACTTATGGTATTATTAAAAGAACAATAAACGGTAGGACTCGTGAATCGTTGACTCAGATCACTAAACTAACGAGTATCAACGCTACATTACTATTTACGTGACTCAAAATTATTATATCGTTTCAATTGCCAAAATAAATTATTTTCGTTCATTCTGATTATATTTATGGCTATGTTTGGAATTAAAAATTCATGAATAAATTGTATACTTTTTTAACATAATTGTGTCGATTCATTTCCTTAAAGAATTATACAAACTCGGAATTTTTATTTGAATTCCTGGAATCGGGTGATACTTTCGGCCACATAAAATATCTTCTCGGAGAAATGTCATTTTAAGAGCAATTAATTTAGTTGTTTTCCAATGACTCGAATGTATTCTAAAATAAAACTTGATGACCTTCTGAAAGTAAAAAAGATATGGCAAGGATAGTTTGTACAAATATTTGTAAATTTAAAAATAAACATTGCTGTAATTGTGACATAAGTTATATACGTATAATAATGTTAATTATTTTAATAATTAAACTACTATAAACTGAACCACATCCTGTAATTTGTGATTAAATCAAAAGTGTTAAAATGATATCTACGTTTATTTTATATTAGTCAAATTTAATTTATATAAATATATGAGTTGTGTCACTGTTATTATTATTGTTAAAATTTGCAAAATTTGCAAGCACTTGTAACACGTAATTTTCTTATAAAATGCCAAATAAATATTGATGTTGAAATAAATGTTAATTTTCTTATCAAAAGACAAATAAATATCGAAGTCAGAATACATAAACAAGTTGTAAAAGTTGAATGTTCACAGAAAAATTCAAAGTTGATCATATTTTGTTACTGTCCTCTGCAAATTAAATAATTTAACATTGCAAACAACGATGGCTAAATATATGAAATAATTAATTTCTCTTTGACAAATGTTTTGTAGGGAGGTCATATAAAAATCCATTTGCACTCTGATATACCAGTACAAGTAGACGGAGAACCGTGGGTCCAGAGTCCAGGAGATATCGTAGTATTAAAGTCAGCATTGAAGGTAATCTAGCCATAATTATTAATAATAGTTCCATTATTTCTTTGAAATATTTAACAGAATGGGTGTTATCCTAAATAAACGTTAAACCTATATAATAACTCCTTTAACTGAAATTTTCAATTGTTTAGATATCACTTATCTTTGTCCGTCTAATTTTTTATATTGTCAATTGTGAATTTTAATTGCTACTATTATTTCTTTAAAAGAGTGCTAATTAATCGAGTCATTCGTTTTAATTAAAAAATAAATTTGATATGTTCTATGAAGTTTACCGTAAATTGTAAACTGTTTTAAATTGTTTATTGTAAATTCTTCTGATTACCTTTTAGATACAGACAACAATTTGTTTGCAGATTATAGTTTGGTCAGCATATTATTTTGAACTTTAGTAGTCTTTAGAAATTAATTTTTATATGCTAATAATTAGTCGTTTTTACATAAATAATACCAAGTATTTCAACCTTGTAAATATAACAAAAGTATGTAATTTCATAAAACTGTATAAAATAAGAGAAAATAGACTAATACTGTCGCTAAATATGCCAAAAGAAATAATATTTCTTTCGAAATATTGTTAAAATTTAATCTTAACAATATTGTTAAGATTATTGGAATTGCAAAATTTTGTAAAAGGACTGTTAATTTCAATTTCAGGAAAACTTTTCTAATTAATATAAATGACAGAAAGAATGTTATTCCTGATTTCTTGAAGTGTAAATAATTTCTTAAATATAATTTATTCATTATTCTGTCAATTGTTACTTTCAACCGATCGTACTGCAAATAGTTAGAAAGTTATTAAAAGGTTATTGATGTCTTCGATACTCTCCTTAATTTCATTTTTAATTTAAAAATTAGTCTATACAATTAATGATAAAATAAATTGTATTGCATGACAACCTAATGAGTATTTTTATAACTATTTTATTTTAATCAGTTAAATTAGTCGAATATATCTTTATTTGGTATTATTAAAAATATTTGCTGTGTACATATTTAAAACGCTTTTCAATTTTACTTTAATTGTAAAATTTATTTTAGTCAATTTATAAAAGGAATTTATGAATACAAATATAACAGTAAAATTTATGAAATGGGATGATTATAAGTTCATGCTATAAAATGGTACAAAAATGGTTTTAAAAGTAAATCATTGAAAAGACAACAAACTTCAAAGTCAATTTGATACATTTGAAGTGTTATTTAAAATTATTATACGGTCTTTCTTATTATTTTAAAAACTCAGGCAACTCAATATAGCTCAGGATATTCAATTTCTGAAAATATTATTTTCAATTTCAAACACTATTTTCAAATCTAATATCTTGTGTGTACCGAACCAAATTGTGTACCAAATTTTAAAAAAATTGTAAATAAGTCATTTTGACTCAACCAGTCAATATTAAAATAAATCAGTGTTACATTAATTTCTAAGAACAGGAGAGTATCGAGACGAACGAATTTATCGACAGTTCATCCAGAGTTGTATTTCCTTGGTAATCGAAGGATTAAAGAGGAGTTCGCTCATTCTGCGACGTTTCAAAGGGAATTAATGGAACGATCTAAATACTTGTCGCACGTTGAATATCCTGCAGGAAGATCCGCACGCATTAGCCGCTAGAACATACTAATTATAATGCTGTAGCAATCACTATAAAGAGCGTGACCCAACTGCTGGTGTCCGGCAGAGCATGCATTCCTCCCCTAATCGCACTCTACTAATCTTTCCTTGTTCCTTTGTTCGCTCCAGGCTACCATGTTGAAGAAAAATAAGATCAAGCGTCGGAATACCGAACCGTCGATCCCACCCGCTAATGGGGAGGGGTGCAAGAGCACAGACGAGAGTACCAACAAAGCCTAAAATGCAGTTTGCGGCTAGATCGATCGGTTAAATTCCACGAAACGAACTTTCAACCCGAATAGCTTCACCCAGACTTCCCCCGATTGTGCAATAATGTGCAGCGATATAGGGGAGTTTCGGTGTGGCCATGTTACAAAGAAAATTTATACAGATTATACTTACATCTATACATACACACACCACGCACAGACAAAACACTTGCGTGTAACTTCCTGTGTAGTGAGAGCTCACTATCGATGTTCCGCCGCATGCCCTGTGTGCCAACGCTGTCGATGTACAAAGATAATTAATAAGTTCTTGAACAGTTTCGTAAGAAATTATTTTTATTTCAATATTTTTTCTTATCATACTCAAATTTCTTAAAATTCAATTTTTTATTTCGATTATATTTTTTTATGGCATAATAGGCTTTTTGAGGAGTATGTCAATGAAAGATGTTTACTTATTCTAACATAAAAAATTGGACTTTAACGATTTCGAATTTAAGAGTATGCTTTTTGGATTTTTAGGTTTTCCAATTCGGAAATTTGGATATCTTCCAATTTTAGAAATGCAATTTCCAAATTCGAATTTAAGTTTAAACTAAGATTTATAAATTTATAAATCATTGAAGTTAGTTAATTATTAAATTCGATAAATTTATAAATCATTCAAGTTAAGGAGTTACTAAATTCGATATAAATCATTCAAGTTAATTAACTAGTAAATTAAACAAATTTATAAATCAAACTTTTGTGCATAAAAATTAGAAAATGTTCAGACTTACAAATCAACAAAATTAGAAATTCAGAAATTTCTCAAATTTGGAAATTGACGAATTTTCAAATTTTCGAATTGTCAAATATTTCAAATGTTCAGTATTTCAGGTTATAAAACTTACAAATTTTTAAATTTGGAAATTTGGAAAGCTATAAATTAAGAGATCTTTAATTTTTGATATTTTAAAACTAAATATTCCTTTAATTAATTATTCTCTGTTGTTAATCAAAAAAATCCTATACTGTCTTATAAAATTTGACTATTTTTTAAAAGTGCGATGACTATAATAAAATATTTGTTTTCGTTTAACTACAATAATTGAATTTGAAATATGAGTAATAGTTTGTGATAATTAAAATTTGATTAGCAATTTCGAATGATTAATATTTAATTAATAGTTTTGAATGATTAAAATCAATGATTTTGAATTACTGAAATATGATTAATAATTTGAAAATATTGAAATATTAATAAAAATTTTTAATTGTTAAAAGATGAATAACAGTTTGGAATTATATAAATTATAAAAATATGGTTACTAATAATGAATGATAAATAGTTTTGAATCATTAAACTATAATTAATAATTTGAAATGATTGAAACTTATCCAAGAACTTATCAATAATCTTCACACCTTAATGCTCAACGCAAATCAAGCTTGTCGTAACGCAGTGTTGTGAAAAATTGAAGGTTTATCAAAAGTTTATTCATATATTTTGTCAAGTGATGTACAATACGCAATGACAATCATGTTATTACGATTATTGAAAGATTAAATCGTGCTTTAACTGTTGAAGAATAAACACATGTTTATGAATGAATATTCAATCATTGTTAATGAAAATTATATTTCTGTTTTATACAAAGAGATAAAAATTTTAAATGAGAAATTGATTGTTTCGTTTTTTGAAATATCTTGTTAAATATATATGATGTTATGCAGCAAGAGATTTAAAAAGAATGGTTTTAGAATTTATTTATCTTTTTGAATAGAAAATATTTATACTAATTTTACAATGTTCGAGTTGCTGGAAAATTCGTTCTTATTTTAGTGATTGATCGAAATTGTTATTTGAAGAGTTTAGAACTCAATTGTTATTGAGTTTGATAAAAATTAAATTGTTTTTGCGATATTAAATGAATTAGTAACTTTTTGTACTGAAACCTGTACCTTTTCACAACACTATAAATGATTTTATTATTATTGCATATTTTCTCGAATAATACTTTTCAGCTTGTACTTCGTGCAATTAACCCTTAAAGGACCCTTGAGAAAGTTTTTATTATTGTAAATATATCAATCATTATTTATTACAAGCAATCATTACTTACAGTAATTTTTTTTACAAAATTTGCAAAACATATTCCTTCTTAAATAATCAAAATTACACTGAAACATAAGTTTTACAATTAATTAAAAAATTTTCAAACACTTTCTAAATCTTGATTCATTTAAAAATTAATATGAATTATAAAAAACTCGAAATGTTTTACAAAAATAAAAATTTGTGTTTTCGGTCCTTAAAGTGTTAAAGTTATTTTCAAAAGAGCATTAAAACAAACATAAATGCAATATATGTGGAAAGTACTAAGGTAACTGCAGGTAATATGGAACGCTTAAAAATTTATGAAAAGTAAAGAAATTATTTTTTTGAGTGAAACATCAATACTTGAAAAAATTAATAGGCCTTTATATGTAAATTGGTAAATATATGAAAGTTGAGTACTATTAAAATTATGGTAGACAAAATGGTACTTAATATGAAACATCTGGAGAATTTATAAAGAAACTTACAAAACATTATTTCTTTTATTAAAAAATAAATATTTAAGTGAAGGGTAACATATAAACAACTACCTGTCATGTTTTTAAATTTATTTTTATTTCTCTTTGTCTTTAATAGAACACAATAAAAACAACGATTAAATTCAACGTACTTTTCATTATTGTAATAGAAAATAGTAATAAAAGTAATAATAATAACTAATATGATAATAGTAATTAATAATAAATATTAGAATGTTAATGATAACTATTATAGCTATTATAATAATAATCATTATTAAGAACTTTAGGAATTATAATAGTAATTACTATTATATTGTTATTAAAATTACTATTCTATAGTAGTAGAATATAAATCTTATTACTTTTATAACTTTCACTGCAAAATTCTGCATTATTATTGACATTAAAGTTCAATAATTTTTGATAATTTATATGCGATTTTTAGTTTATGTTAGAAGAATTTTGTCTCTGCTTTCTTCTTGAATAGGGGTTAAATGTAACGCATCCCCAGAATTTAAAAATCTCAACTCTTACAATTTTGAAATTACAGGTCTCAAAGTTTTAAAGTTTTAAAATTCAAAATTTCAGTTCTAAAAATCTGATGTAAAATTGAATAGTTTCACAAATTAAATATTTTAATTTCGAAAATTTCAAGGTTCCATCCTTCTAAAGTCTTGAATCTCCAACGTTCCTAAATCCCATAGTCGCAATGATCAAATATTCCAACATGCTAAAATCCCAAAGCTCTAAAACTCCAAAGTGTCAAATCTCCAATTTCCCAAAATCCTATAGTCCTAAAAATTAAATACTCTAATATCTTAAACTCCCACCTCCAAAGTCTCAAATCTCCAATTCCCTAAAATCCTATAGTCCCAAAAATCAAATATTCCCTCGTTTTAAAATCCCAAAGTCCTAAGACCATTTCACATATCCCGATGCTCTTATACATAATTCTAAAGATTTAAAATTCTACTATCCCAAAATCCCACAATCCCAAAGATACTTCCCCTAGTCCTAAACTCCCAGAGTCTCAAAATTCCAATTCCATATACAGCTACCGATTAGAGTTCTTTATTTAACAAGATCTTACAATGTTCCATATTACGTGCAGTTGCATACTGCATGCACTAAACCTAAATGTACATTTCCGATCGAACGAGAACATTTGATCGAGGTCCTTTGAGCGTTAATTGATTCTTCGTTTCACTTATCTATTCGTTCCACGAGCATCCTCCTCTCTGTTGGTCTCTGAGTGTTCTGGCTGTTAACGAGCTCGAGATTCGTCGTTCATTTATTTCCGTTATTCTTTTTCTTTTCGTCACGGTCTCGCTGGCATTGACAATTTTCTCTGAATTGCTCCTTTGTGCGCCCCCTGTGATCCTGTCCCTTCCTAGGCCACGATGCTGAAGAAGACCAAGGGTAAAATGAAACGGCGTAACACCAGCATGCGGCTGGCACTTCAGACCGTGCCCTCAAATTACCCGGAACCTGAAGTCTTCTGAGTGACCGAAAATTGTTCCCCGTGCAAGCGGAACGAGGATGTCACGTCACGAATACCGCGTTATTGCACGCGAAAAGCGATACATCTAGCACAACACGCAACAAACGAAATCGGCCTCGAAATTTGTCTGTCTGACCGCGGTCACACTCTGTACGAACATATAAACTTAAAGCACAACAAGAAATATAATGAAAATGATACACTACAAATAACCATACACCCGTCTGATCACACGAAATACGCAAGGGAGGTCCTCCAGGAAAGCCAGGATAAAGACACCCCCGCGACAACAAAAGAAAACCCGGACGATGAGAAGAAGAGAACCAGAAGGGAGAAAGAAGATTAAGAAGATGAAAAGAGACGCTAGTCTACGGACACTTCATTATGAACTCAATTAATCTTTACTGTCCCCTTCCGAGTTGCTAGGAGAACTAGATCTCATTTTTAAATGTTAATGATCATTATATAGCATTGTACGTAGCTTCGATCGATATTTTTTTAGTAAAAAGAGAAAAAGAAAGGAGATGACAAAAAGAGAGCGCGCGAACGAGTGTATGCGTGTGTGTACGTTTGTGTGCGCGTGTGTGTGTGTGTATGCGAAAGAGATGAAAGAGAGTATGAGAGAAAGACTATACGATAAGTTAATGAACCGTGAGATAACGTTTTACCAAGGAAAGCAGTATTGAATGAAATTTCTCCCAGTTTATTCGCTTGACAGCCATACCTACGCGTTTACGTTGGTATAGTTCATTATTTAGTCCCGGACAAGCGACGATGGTGAACCGTAATTGTACATGACCCTTTCGTATCGGTATTGTACTAATTCACTGGTAAATATCATGATACGAATCCCCGCAATCACGAACTATCGAGTACATAAAGATCAGTTGTTAATTAATATATATGTATATATAAATATATATATACATAAAATATTTATGATTAAATATTAATATATTTACAAACAAACAAAAAAAGAGTAATGTATTAGTATTACGGTCTTAAGTTGTGATAACTGTTGTGCGTCTGACTGCTGGGCAGTCTGGAATTTATAAGAGAAAACAAATACCAGTGGCAGTCAGTCATTTCATAGGATACGAGAAACTAAACGAACTAGAAGAAATAAAAACCAAAAAAAAAGAGAAGAGGAGGACGAGTAAAACGTAACGCGATTTGTCAGCTCGTCTCGAAACCTGGATGAACCACCGCCACGAACGAAGGAACAAAGTCGCAAAACGACTTGGCAACGTTCTCCAACGCGGCTCTGGCGAACCTCTTCATATTTCGCCGAAGCCAACAGAACAGTTGACAACACATTCCACTGGAACGTGGTCGAGAGCAAGATGGACGCCTGTACATTTCTAAACAATGCCAAAGGAACTTCTAACGTGCTAACACTTTCACGCTGTTTGGACACCTGGTGACCAGTCTTCTCGTTTGGCGACGAAAAGACGTAACCCGCGGTTATCGGAGGAAAGAGAAAAAGAGAGGAGGACGTTCGATCTTCAGGAAACAAACAGAACGAGAAATAAACAGACGTCGGCGGTGAAACGTCGTGGATCGTGTTCATATTGGACCCTTCGTTGGCATCGTTCGATGTAGAGACAATTTCGGTGCCAAACAGTTGTACATAATACTGTAAATGTAGGCGTAAACCAAACACACAGAATACATTACACACACAGATCTACACACGTACACACACGAAAGAGAATCGATTTATTCGAGGCAACAGAGAAGGCAACCAGCTGCTGGTTTCGTTACATGCCGGACATTGAGGGAAAAAAGATGGTCTTTTTGACTGAAGAAACACGAATTTGATCATGAGAAAACGTGTCGCGTTGCGTTTCGATCGATCATGCCCACGGCCATATATATAGATTTATAAACTACCTACTTGGGGATCCCTTAACAAAGCTACTGTTAGACTAAAATCTGGTCTAACAAGGACTACAATATGTAGTCTAGCGAAGACTATAATATGTAGTCTATCAGACACTATGTGGTCTGTCAAGAATTAACATACAGTCTATCAAAGACTACAATATGTAGTCCATCAGAGACTAATATGTAGTCCGTCAGAGACTATAGAATTTGTAGTCACTGACGAAGCATAAAAGTTTCATGAATCTTCCACTGACCATGGCGCTACTATCGTTTTGCCAAGCCAACAACGTAGATATGTATTATTCTGAACCAAAGCGATCGTAGTGTCCCCGCTTCGTGGTAGATTTTGCAAGCGTAATTGGCCGTATTAAGGGTTCATCCCCAACATAGTAGTTTGTAGATCCGTCTATACGACCGTGATCATGCTTTTCGCGCGCGAACTAACACGGAAGCGTGTTCCAAGAGGAAGTAACATTTGCGCGCGAAGTCTTTACGTTTGCTTTGCAACTGAAACGCTTGTAGATACACGCTACCCCTGCATCCTCTTTTAGATATTTGGTAGATTTATCCCTTAAGAATTCTCTGATAACGAGATCGGGGGAAATTTCCGAACCGGGAGACCGCCATTTCCGGATGATTGATGGTCTCTCTTCTTGAAGAAGGTCACAACCTGCCAATGGTGCTGCATGGGCTCAGTCGTTCGTGCTCGACATCCGGTTTTAGAGCGTGGACGTCGCATCGGCGGCAGATTGAAATCGCGAGTTCGTTTTTTGACGTTTTAGTAAAATTATCTTAGCGTTTTCGCTGTTGCTGAGAAGCACGCTATGAATGATCGTGCAATCGAGAGTACAAAGAATAATATCGTTCGCTGTCCTCTCGACGCTACAGAATGTTTCATAATATGTGGACATTGTTTTAGAGACAAATAACGGACGTGAAAAACAATGAAAAACATTCTAAATTCAATTGGAAAAATTGGAAAATCTCTGAATTAAAAATAACGGAGATAAATAAATACATTGACGTATATAACTTTTATAGCTTAATGAAGTTATATTATATTATAAGTTATATTATTATAACTAAGTATTATTATTATATTATTATTGATCTCTTATTTTATACTGTTCAGATAGAAACTTTTAAATATCACTTAGTACCTGCAATTTGCGACTTGTTATTGCGTGTAATATAAATTTATTTGTTCAATTTTTATTGCTTTATAAGAGACTATTTCCTTAATTATCGGCTTAATTGATAATATACCGAAGCTTAACCGCTTTTCTTAAAACAAACTAACGTGTCGCAAACATTTGAAACATTCTCTTATCTGACAGATAGCTATTCGAGTTTCCTTGTTTGCATGTAACTTAACAAATTATCAAGTGCTCATACGAAGATAGTGAATTATCTTCTCGTAGTCTTGAACTGTGCACGAAAGGGTTAATGAAAATCAGTTATAACAGTTGATCATTAGAAAGTAATCGCTGAAATGCAAAATTGTTAGAAACTCGATTTTACGTGAGCTACTTTAAATCTAACAGTCTTAAATAAAGATCAATGTATTACTAAAATTTTAACTAAACTGATCGTAACAAAATTAATCGATATCGACAGTGTCAATACAATTACCAATTATAATTTAATTAATGCTAAAACTTGTTAGCATTATCGGTTATTTGAATTTACAATAAGTAATTACCTAATAACACAAAAGCAAAATTATGCGAATTACGTAAAAATGATGTAACCTGTACTTGCTTCATTGTTTCATGTTCATTTATCGTAAAACAAAGTCACGCAACCACATTTTGTGGAACACCCTGTAGGACCACGGATAAAAATGGATGCAATTAATTTATCGTTATCAGCGAACTCGGCGAACACCTTCTCCTAATTTATATTGTATTCGTAGATAGACTTCCTGCGAACGCGGTTCCGTATTATTTTCTGTCGATCAGAATGATAGAGTATCGTAAAAATCGTACGGGATCGGATGTGACACGTTTTAGGGATGATTTTCCTTCGCTATACGTTTTGTTTTCGTACTGTAGAACGATGTACTGTGCGAAGAACAAATTCGTTGTTAATTAATATCGATGTATCACGCGTACAGTGGTACAACGTCATGCGAACGAATTGTTGCCGAATCATGCGAGTTTTACGTTTCACCCTAATTGTGGATAGTTTCGACGTGCGCAACAAACGTTATTGTATCCGCGAAGGGCGAGGTTTTTGTTTCAATCATGTCTTGGCGTGTATTACGGAAAGAGTGGAATATTACATAAATTAATGTACACATTATCTGTGGACTTTTAATATTTTAAATCCTATTCCAGTAGTTTATATTCCTACTCCTTAAATTGGGTGGAGTATTAACTTATAGGGAGTATAAATCTCTTTACCATGAAAGGGAGACATGTAGATTTCATTTCTAGATGTCTAAATATTTGTATTTTTTATTTCTATATTCTTATGTTTTTATGTTTCCAAAATCCAATGTTTTACATCAGTGTTTTCAGATGTCTCTACTAGTAGATTTCTATAACCCTAAATTCTTATACTTTCAAATCACGATATTGCTATATTTCTATATACTCAAATCTCTATGTCCCTAAATCTCTACGTCCCTAAACTTCTACATCCTCAAATCTTATAACGTCAAACCCTGTACCCTCAAACCGTATATCTTCAGATCCCTACATATGATTTTGATATCTCCAAGTTCCTATATCCCGATTCCTATATTCCTAAATTTCTATATCCCCAAATCCATACATATTTCTATAACCCCAAGTCCCTATACCCCGATCCCTACATCCCTAAATCCCTATATCCGCAGATTCCTACATATAGTCTCTATATCCCCGAATCCATATTTACCCGGATCCCTATATCCCTAAATCTCTATATCCCCAGATTCCTACATATGGTCTCTATATCCCCAAGACCCTATACCCCAATCCTTATATCCCCAAATCCCTGTATCTAAGAATTAAGTCAGAGTATCGTCAGATCTTCATATATTCCTAAATTCCTATATCCAGAAAATCAATATCATACTTCTTGTTAGATTTCTACATGCCTATATCCTTATATTCCTACATTCATAGATCTTTACAACCCTATATCTCTACTCAAAAGTAAAAATTAAAAGGATACAATAATTTTGAACAAAGGCATGGAAGATAACCAAGTACGTATGTAACACTTTTTTATACAATATTTAAATACTGCATTTTAAAATGACGTGTTGAATATTTCATGTTGGAAAAGTATTTGAAAGTTTCAATTTGAAATACTCAGATATGAAAATTTGATTCTATAAACTATTTAGAGAAATGAATTTTTAATTCACGAATAATCATAAATTGTTACAAGAAAATTTACTGCTCAGTTTTAATTTTATCCTAAAGACAAATTTGTTATGGCACTTATTGAGTGTTTAAAGTATAATACTGAATATACCTTATTATTATCTATTTTGGATATTCAATTTTATGAAGGTGAATTGTAAGTTACGAATGATTAACTTTTCTAAGCTTCTGATAATCCCCATCATGTGATATTCAAGTACAGGTGATATCTTCTATTCCATACTTAGAGATCAGAAGTAATTAAATTTCTATGATACAGCAAACTTCTATTAATAATTAATCAGACTTTCGATCAAAATCATCAAACTTCGTAATCAACACCTTTTCTCTAAAATTTTTATATATCAACATTTAAAAAAATACAGAAATAATTTTTTTCAAATATTTATAAAAGAAAGTATTATTACGTATGAATAACTGTATCTTAACTATTATGTTAATACCGTTTTCAGAAATAACTATTTCTTATCAGATCAAGGATTTCTAGGAACCATAAAGCCTTTAGAACATTCGTAACAGTACGTAACGACAAAATAACTATCGTTATCGACTACATTAGAGAGTGCATTAATAGCTTTTAAAGACCTTCAAAAGTTTGCCATTAAATCATTATGGTGTCAATAGTTACGAATAAAGTGGTAATTAGAGCGCCTCCAGTGTTATCGCCAGGCAAATGGGGCACTTACGTTTAGGGCTTTCTGATCTTCCATATTTTGTACAAATTAGACGGATTATGTTGTCATGTTTTCTCAATTTGCAAATGGAATACGCTATAACTTCTACACAGAATGAAAATTATAACGGCGAGTTGTATTGATAGAGTTTAGATAAGCGTTGAGATAATTTTAGGTTAGATTTGCTGGTGGTCAAGTTTGGATTATCGTTTAATTTGTCTTGCGCTAAGTTTGTAAGATAATGTGATAATTTTAATTTAATACGTCTGTTTTGATAAATCTGTATCTTTTGATCGTAGAAATTATCGAAGCTGATATTTCGACTCTTGTTCTCCACCGGAAGCTCTAGCGGGAACACTAGAATTGAATGTATTAACGATAAAACAATAAGAAATAACAGTGAATATGATAATTATTAAAACAAAGATACTAAAATGAAGGAAAGATATAATATAGATTAATTCTTCGTTGATTTTTTTTAATAAAATTAAACAGAGACAATTGCTACCTTTAAACAGTAGGTAATTAATAATGTTTTAACGAACATAAACACATTTAAATTTCATAATATAAATAATATTAAATCCTAGTTTTCGATATTACAATGTGATTTTAAACGGTTATTTGAGATATAAGATTAATAAATAAATTAATTGAACTTTTTCATTAGATATAACGTAGATTTTTTCACTAAAACATTAAGAATACAAGCCAGTTGTTTTACGATATCTGTAATAATTGTATACAACTTTTGTATACAACGTAAACATTTTACGTTGATAACCTAGATTAAATTTTAAATTTGTATCTTACTAACTAAGTATTATTAAAGAATTAGCAGGATAAAAGTTTAACAGATCTGAGACTTCAATAATAATTTTATCTATACCATTATAACATTGGGCAATAGAAGTCATCTGGAAGGATTTGTAAAATTTTTTATCAGTTTTCAAGATAACACTTTGACTACATTTTAAAAAAGATCGCTATATTTGTCGTATTTATTAAATAAAATAATTCTTGCAATTTTATTGCAAATTACTGAACAATTTTAAATTATTTCTTATGGGATATCGCATCTTTTATCATTCATGAAATTTACATAATATTTTTATATTTTGCAATAAACAAAGATAATTTGTTTAAAACAGAAATTAAAATAAATTAGTAATTTGGTAATTATCTTGTATTTATAGAATGTCAACATTTTTTTTAGAACAATTAATATATAATATATTACATGCTATACATAAATTCAATTTGCATCACGTAATCTCTGCTCCACCTACTTTCATATATCAGACAATTTTTATCAACAGCATTATTATTACTAACCTTGAACATTAAGAGCATCCTGATACTTAAAATTATTTTTCTTATATTTTATTATATTTGTTCATATACATCTTTAAAGTTCTAAAAAAAGAAAAATAAGAATCATATATTGTACTTAAACTTTTTACATTAATATTCAATTAAATACATATTTTATATACTTTTGTTAAGGTATTATTAATTGTTCACGTATTATTAAATAACAATCATTCTCAACTATTAAATATTATGTTTACACAAATAGATGTAGAGTCATTTTATTTAGAGTTTTGACTTTCATACTATTAAATATTTTTTTGCGAAAAGATCTGTCATTACATTTAGTGCTTGACACAAAGTTGTGGTCTATTAAATGTTATTTTTATTTAAACAGACATATGATTACATAAGATTGAATATGCTGAAATATTCTGTCATGGTCAATGTCCATCAAAAATGTAATTTATTACAGCTGGGTGTTTCCAAATTGATGTACATGTGTATTTCCATATTAAGGGGGTTAATTACGATACCTGAGGGTTAATAACACTCTCAAGGAAAAAGTACCATACGTTTTCCAGATACATATATGGACAGTAATTAGGTGTAAGACAAATTTAATGGGGCTTTGGGAATTCCAGAGGTAAAGGTAAGTTCTTGGTACAAATCGTACAAAACAATGATTGTTCGAACCTCAGCTACCACATTAATGACTTCCGAAAGAGAATTCTTACATATATTATACGCTCACTGGTTATTATAGTATTTACTATGCGGTAACCTTGGTATAATGAAGATATAAGTGAGAAAAACACTCTTTCCTAAAATCTTATTTTTACTTACCAATCTACTTATTATAAAATTATTTAATAATTGAAGAAGCAGACTTTAATGTACTACCACAACAATTAAATATTTAAGTATTAAGCTTTATGATTATTTAAATAATTAATTATCAGTAACAAAATTTTAAATGTTAAAATTATAGTGAAAAATTGTATAAAAATGCAATATAAATTTTTATTTGAATTTACAATATAAATTGCTATAAACAATATGCATTTTGAGCATTTTATTTTCATATTACAAAATTACATAAAAATTATTATTTTCAATGACCACATAACAGTGATCATAAACATTGTCGTAAACAGTGGTCAAACATAACAATGATTATAATATATAATTATTTCAAATGAAATATTAATTTATATTTATAACTACATGAACGTAACAGAAGTTGCACTTAAAAATTTTGAAATCAATTTTGCACAAAGCGATTAATTCATACCATAACACCTTTTCAGCTAATTAAAAACGAATATAAAATTGGTTCAATGAAATTTCATGTACACACTAACCACGAATTAATATGGAAAATAAAGTAATTTCTTTCACCCATACATAAAGAAGCGTTTATACTATTATTGAAGTGTGGCACGTGGCAGTAGCAATACTGAAAGAACAGGAAACGGAAATAGTAATACAGCACCGAACTACACATCTGCTTACCCTTCTGAAATCATCTTACAAGATTTTTCAAGGGTCACGACATCCTAAATGGAGTGTGCTTTTCACGGTAAAGAGGGACCCTGGAAAAAACCTAACGGTACGGAAGTAAGTATATTATTTTAGTTAGGCCATGTGGCGACCAGAACTTTTCAAGAACAGAAATGACCCTGCACATCTGGGTACTACCAAAGAAACCTCTTGTTATGTACCGAGAAAGAAAAGAGAAAGATTTTCCTGGAATGTCATGAATTTATTTAAGACAAGATGTGCGAATAATCATTACTCTGTGCATAAGGCAAATTGTGCAAAAATTGATCATTAAATAGTCTATGTAGAATACAGGAATCAGAATAAAAATTAAAAAGTATCGATTATAAAGTGAAGAATTTTATTTTATATCTGTGATGAATTTTACAAATTATTTTGTAAATCATATGTTACTGATATACACATGAACATACAATTACAATGTAAAACTGTTGTAATGACACTGTTCAACAGCTAGTTGACGTTTGGCAAAAAAGTCGAAAAGTCGAAAACATTGGAAAATTGTATGAACCCTTATATTATACATCAAAGTTCTATACATAATAAAAATACAGATATATTAGTACAAGTATTCTGATGCAATATTCTGTCCAATCTTTCATTAATTTTCTACGCACAGTTAAGATTAATATCGTACCATCTTCGTATTTATCTTTATCACTCGTAAGTCTCTCGTCCGTTACATGAATTGCGCTTGATATACGCAACGTCGGGGGATAAGTATGATGACTACTCAAGTATTTAGTAAACAGTAGAATAATTTAATAATATTTACGCGCTTGATAATATAATACGTAATAAATATATTTATCAATATGTTATACATATAATTATTTAATATTAATACTAAATATGATACTTCGTTTAATAATAAGTAGCAAATAATACTTAATAATACTTCGTTTAATAATAAGTAGGAAACATAATACTTAATAATACTTCATTTAATAATAATTAGCAAATAATAATATGTAAAACATTCTAACTAATTTTATTTTCAATAATCTTAACTGATTATTCTAAGAATATGTAATAGCTTTGCTACAAATATCTCCAAGTACTTTAACGATTTGCTGTTGGAGTAAAAGCGTGCTTCACAAAATGGTTGTCTAATTCAGGTACACCGTTGCGTGTCACTCAAAATGCTTGACATTACCATCAACATTTTAATAATTACATAATCATAGTAAAAAAAACATCCTAGAAAAAAGAACTCAGCTACCGTAATAACTTTCAAGGATTTCCTCTTAAGAAGCGAAAGTTGATATAACTTATCTCGATAAACATTTAGGGAACAGATACCAGAAGTTAAGTTGTCTGGAAAGGTTCTGGCTGCAGTGCCTCTTCAAAATGTCCCCTTACATGTATTTATACATCGTACAACCATATGCATACTTCTGGTTGCATAGAATACAAGACACTTTCGAATGTTATTATAGAAAGGTTTAATTTCTAAAAGGTTCACATAGCTTGTCACTTTGTTTCTTTCGCTACAGTTTTTAAATTCGTTATATTATTTACTAGTACTTGCTGTTTATAAATATGATGTAAACATTTATGATGTAAACATCTAAGCAATGAAAACATACTATTAAAAGTAAATTCCTGGTACGAAATTTCTTGGTAGTATCGAATTTCTGTGATTTGCATATTATGCTGGTTATTCCGCATTTTTATGTGTATCTGTCAAACTTTCCACATTTCACAATGTCTCATAAGTTTTCGATGATTACTCGGTGAAACCTGAGACGTATAAATAACAAATTAAGTACGTATTTGATATGATTCGGAATTTATGACCTCACGCCTAACGCGTACTGCGATATAAAAACGTTACAAGCAAATTTCGTTTGAAACCGACATTGCGTTATTAAAAAATAACAAATTAGGATCACCTTAATTTCAATGTTTAATAATTGATATATCTCGCTTGATTACTTAATTGGGAACTTAAAAGTATTTTTTTTATTAAATTGCGTGTATAATTTTGTAATTATAGTTAAAGCAACTAATCTTTATGACTTCTAGTTTCTAAAATCACGAAAATTTCGTACTTTATTCATTTTTTCTTAATAAATGATATTTGAATAAATATGTTCTGTACATAGAGTAAATATATTCAGTACACTTGCACTGTATAGAAAACTAAAATACTCAGCACGTGTTGATATCATTAAAAAATGTGAAGAATATAATTCTTAATCATAGAAGCTTAAATGATTTTAAGATTTCAGAAACTTGACATCTTTTGAAGGCTTTATTAAATTAGAAATTATTCACTAGAATAAAATAGTCTCTTCTTATCACTAGGAAATGATAATGTTTATCATTGATAGAGATCATTTAGAATATCATTCTCGTTTTTTTATTTTATATTTTTTTATTAATGATGTATTTAAAGTAAACATAATTTTATGTCATACTATTTTTGTGCAAATACTTGAAGTATTACAAATTATTATAATTAAATAAATAATAAATATAAAAATGTATAACATCAAGACACAATTAAAGCAGTTTAATAATTTATATAAAATAATTAAAACATTAATTTTCTGTAGTGACGTTTACTTTCAATAAGAATACAATTTTCATACTATGATAAACAAAAAATTACTTTAGTAGTACCAGTATAAGCATTCATATCGTTCATTTTATGATCGGCGAAGTATTTATTAATAACTGAATCGATAACAGAGCTTAATAACATGAGACTATTATGACAGACAGATTAACAAGATTATTTCTTCTTAATCATACTGATAAATTCAAAATTACTGCCTAAAATTTATGAAGGCGCCATTTCACGTCAGATCGATTATCCTTTCCTTCATGTCACGAACTTTTTTCTAAACTTCATATTACACAGGATTACACTTCATATTTTATGTGAAATAAGAAGCTTAAATTATCATACATACATCATGTCATACATTATACCATCAATACAAGACTTAATTTTTTATTACAGTTATTTTCTAAGAACTGTATACATTAAGATTTGTAAAAATGTTACTTTCAATTTACACAATAAGAATTTTTTCATCATTCGCAATACTGAATTAACAGTATTTTTCAACAGAATAAAAATTTATTTAAAAAATGCAATCCTCTTAAATTAAAATATAAGGATATTAGTCAAGACGACAAATAAATTTCGGAATAAATATTTAAATGTATGATAGTATATATCAAAATCATCTTAATAAATATTTAAGAATAAAAGTGATAATATTATGTACTTCAAAAAATCAGCAGACAGTACAAACTACATCGTTTATATTACATCTCTGAATCATAGTCATGTGTTAATGATAAGATATTTAATAAAATTTTCCCAGATACTCCTCTGACTGGAAGAATCTCTTCCCCAACGTCATCAATTTCCCTAGGGAAAAACAGGATGTTCCCAAATGCACATTTTAGTTTTATGATAGTATGCAAAGAAATCACAAAATTCAAATGTTTGTATCTTTAAACAATTTCAAAACGTATAAAATGATGATTCAAACTCCTGCATTTCTTTTATCATATGTAAAGTAAATTAAATTCATACTACATAATATTTCGTTTTGATTAAAATTCCGGATATCCACAAAAAATGAAAAAAAAATTGATTTAGCGCGTAATGTCCCAAAGGCCTTCCCCTGCGTCAGACATGCGCAGAACAACAATCGCGCATCTTCTAATCCCCACTACTCGGTCTATTCGGTGATCACATGACCAATTCCGCCATTCCGAGTTCGACCGAGCAAAACCGAACGAGAGCGCGCGGAGAATCGGGAATCATAAGCTCACGTCAGTTCGCGTCGAACATTGTGGGTGGGAAGTTCGTTGATGAATTTTAATTGGACTTGTTGCGTTTAAAATTCCTTTTATGTTGATCTGAAGTGTTGTGTTTCACGATCGAACGATTCGCGTGACGGACAGAACATATTTGTGACATTGTGAACAGTGTGTTCATCCGATTAAACGAATATTGCTCGATGTGGAAAGAACAAAAACAAACAACGGACAACGAATGATCACGACTAGTGCTAATCAACTACGCTAAATCTGGTAAGTTTAATCTATAAAAGGAAACTATTGTTTCCTTGACATGTATTTAATAATTATTACGATGTAAATATCGATCACCGTGTATCGATTGTCAGGTGAGTCAGTTCATCGATTGTTTATGCTGACCGTAGAATCAGTGGGCATACAAATAATTGACCATATAGTTTGTAAGAGAATGCGTCTAATTATTTGTAAAAATCTATTATTACTGTAGACGTAATTACTGGGAAAGAGACAAATTTGTTATCAAAATAAATACAGTTTGGTCCGTAACATTGCAGTACTTTCGAGATTACATTATCTTGTACGAAACAACTTTTTTTATCTTTGCAAATGCCGTTTTGTAGGAGTTTATGTTTCCTCTGATGTGTCTTCCTGGAAACGGTTAACCTTTTTGCTTATAATGCTTGTGGGAATAGCTAGCGTCTACCAGTTTTTCTCATCGATTTATCGATTGAAATTCGTGCAAATTTCTTGGTATTTAACGATCGATGAAGTAACGACTCTAATTTAAGATTCGATTAGTTTAGTCACGTGTTTTTCGAGATAGTTTTTTCTTAACGCATGATAAACGAAGATTTGCGGAAGTTCCGTATAACCTATGGTTGCGAAAACGTTTTTTTCCGTCGGAACTATGAATTGAATAAGATATTTGCGACTTGATAATACATTATTGTTTTTATATAATGTATGTCGTCACAATATAATAATTGCAATATAAGTGGTATTTGTTTTTAGTGAAACATGTACTAATGTTTTATAGTATATGTTTGTAATAAAATATATATATATTACATTAAATTATATTGTTATGATAATTGAGTTATTCAGTATGCAAATATTATTTATTTCTTTCAACATCAATTAGGAGAAATTTATTTATAATTGTTGAATTGTTTGAGGACTGAAAATAAAATAAAAGGATTGAGTAAATAGTTTATAATTGCTTTAAATTAATTTTTCCAATATATGTTATTTTGTTCAATTTATTTTATTAAACTATTTATGGTATTAAATAATTTATATTATTCGGTATATTAAATTGTTATGCTAATTATTATAATAATATTATATATCATTTTATGTTAGCGTTTAATATTAATATATAATCCAACAATTATGCAATATATCAAAGTGCATATGTAACAAAATTGCAGTAATATAATTCGATATTGTACCAATTATTTTTTAGATGAGTTGCAACCATATTTTTATTTGTTTTCCATCTAAATGCAATGTGTCCGCGTTAAGCGAAATTGAAATGTATTATTCGTTATTTTTCCTCTAGCGCGATGATTTTTTAACGCGAACTTATCAACTATGTACATATTTCTTTTCCAACGAACTTCATTTCTAAATGGAAGTTTTAATTACCTTTGCAATATATCAGCAAAAAAGGCAGATGTAATACAATTGTAAGTTTAATTCACGTTTTCCTGTTGTTCAGTGTTTGAGATATCACATGGGATGTGATGTATGAAATGTTTTATTAATTTGATGAATTTCAATATTAGTGTTAATAATATATTTGCAGTTTGTAGGTAGATTTTATATGAACATTATATATACTGTGTTACATATTTATTTAATATTAATATAATAATATTTATATATTATATACATAGTATATATCGTATAGTATATTGTACAATTATAATATATATTACTATAGTAGTATGATATATGCTATGTATATAACATATAAATGTTATTATTATTCTATTTTTTTTATTACATATTATATTATATATAGAATATGATATATTAATATTAATAAGAATATTATGTACACAATATATATATCACAACTTATATAATGTATAGTGTATTTAGTAGTAAACAATTCTGGCTATTCCAAAATAAACTATTCCAACGATACTGAATAATCTTTGCCAACATTCAACACGCATGTTCTTTTTATATTTTCGTTCGTACAGTTTGTTAAAAGCGAGTACTCGTGTTTAAATTCTTTACGAAGCATTATTTGTCTAATTGAGATGTTCAATATGCGGGATTTACCCATTTATCAGAATACATATTGTCTTCTACCATATGTACAGTTTATCTAAGGTTTTAACGGTAAAACTTTGTTATAGGGCTTAAATGGAGTAACAGTATCATATAAACGTAGATCGTTTAATACTTCTTCAACATGTACGACAAAAGAGCGAAATAAGGGATCAATAAAAACCTTGCGCTTACTGCAGTATGATGCAGGAATACATTAACAAGATTTAGTTGTAACGTGTTTATGCAAAGTATATTAATTTATATGTATATTTTGTTTTATCAAATTCACATATTTTTAGAAACACGCATTCTGAAATGTAGAAGTTCTGTGATTTTCAAATTTAAAAACTGTGAACTGGAAGTTTTGAAGTTAGCAAACATTCAAAATACAGAATTGCACATTTTTGGATTACAAAATTTACAAACTTTTAAATTATAAAACTTACACATTTTCAAATTACAAAACTTATAAATTTTCAAAATTAAATTATAAGATTTAAAAACTTTCATATTACCAAAATTTATAACCTTTCACATTACAAAAATTTGTATACTTTCAATTTAAAAGATTTGTAAATTTTCCCTTTTTTGAACTTATTGTTAGTCATTTTCAATAGCACAAATTGTTAAATTTAGAAAGGTACAAATTAAAGAAACTAGGAATGTACAAATTAAAATGTTAGCAGTATACAAATTAAAAAATTTTTTAATATACAAATTCAAAAAATTAAAAAGGTACAAATTAGAAAATTAAGAATATACAAATTAAAAAATTGTAAATATAAAAATAACAAAATTTATGAACATACAGATTTAGCAATTAAAGAATGTACAAATTTGGGAATTTCGGAATCGAGTTTGCAATCTTCTAAATGCTATGCATATATCATAGAAAGACCGTTTCCTATATTGCCAATTGCAAGAACTTCCCACAATTCTGCCCCTAGCAATATAACAAGAGTGTACTATGTATATACCTTTCCATTTCATTCACAATATAATTACACTTTATTGTGTAGCATTATAGTGAGTATTAGTTGTGTAATGTAAAAATAATAATTCACTAATTCCAATTAAAAATCTATTGATTCTCTAACTGTAAGCATTTAATAATAATTGCGTCATTGCCAGTCAAAATTTCACTGGCACTGTATATAAAACGTCTACTATCTGTATTTCAAATCGCGAGATTAGTAATCATATTGGAATAGATTCATTTTCAAGATGTCTCTTAAAAATGGATTATCGAATTCAGACGTAATAAATCGATAAAATTTTGTTCACACATTAATTGTCGGAAAAGATAAAAGGGGACTATCTTTGTTTATTTGGGGAATGAGTATATGTATAGCTTTCGATTCTTATATAATCGAAGAAAAATATATAAACATATATGTATAATTATTATGAAAAAGAAATTAAATAAATGTAATAATTATTTCTGAGGAACAATTTGAAGTATATATTTAATATATAATGTAATTTATTTCATTAGATTATTGTACGCTTAGGTACATTTATTCTATGTATAAATATTTATTATCCCATTTATTATTCATAATAAATTATCATAAATATTTATTATTCTCATTATTTTTATATATCCATTTACTTATATATCATTCTACCATGAAATTGAGTCTAGGAGTTGCTAAATGTATTTGTGATTAACAATATGGGCTACTAATAATTAGGATGGTGTGAAAAATGCTAGGTAGTGCACTATTTGAAAAAAAAATTATATAATTACATGTACATGTAAATACATACACTTATTTTATTTTTAATGTGATACAAAATGGTAAAGAAATAATTAAAAATAAGCATTATGATCTTTTTTAACGTGTACTGTTTCAATATCCTTATTTATTATACATATAATTATTTTAATTTGATATGAAAATTAAGAAATTTATGAATAAATGTGTTTGAAATAAAATAATTGTTGTTCAAAGTTATTTTTTATTGGTTACGATGTTTCATATTATAAACGTAATGTATATAAATAAATTCATTTTATTACTATTCCGTCTGATAATAATGAGTTCATTTCTATTTTTGATGTATTGTTTAAATTATTGAGTATAGTTATATTCTTAATGTACTATGCTTATCACTTGAATTCTTGATTATTGATAATAATGAGTTCAATTATATTTTTGATGTATTGTGCTTATTATTTAAATTATTGAATATAGTCACATTCTTAATGTACTTACTGTGCTTATCGCTCGAATTTCTGATTAATTTTCAGTATATTATTTACATTAATACATAATGCATTATGTAATAACAACATAATTGTTATAATTGTTGTTAATATCGCATTGTTATTATTAGGGTGTCCCATAAGTTTCTTTCTTTTTTCTAATATGAAATGAATACACAATATTTCCTGTTTAGGATATTATTTATTCTGTTATACAAGAACCCTTTTTTTCTATTACCTTTTTCCAGGTCTCAAGAAACCTCATTAGGCCCTCTTTCTAAATTTGTTGTGTTTTGAATGAGAAATAATTCTTAAGGTGCACTTTTATTTCGCTGATGGATTTAAAGCGCTTATCGCGAAAAGAATTTTTTAAGGACAAAAATAGGTAGTAGTCTGATAGTGCGATATCTGGAGAATATGCGGGCTGCGGTAAAACATCCCAATCAAATTGTGAGACCTTTTCTCTTACCGGTAATGCAATATGTTGTCTCGGTCAGTAAGTGCGTAACCCAAACTTTGCAGCGATTAACATAACCCATCCTGGTTATGTGATTATGCACAATTGTTTTGGAAATCCTAGTGACATTCACTATTTCCCGTATACTAAATCGGAGATTTTTATCAAGCATGGTCTTGATAAGGTCGGTATCCGTCGTTTTTGGGCGACCGCTGCGGTCCTCACCTTCGAGACTAAAATTTCCCTCTTTAAATCGCTTAAACCAATTGCGAACGGTTGTAACAGTTATAGCACCATCCCCGTATACAGTACAAATCTCGTTAA